TGCCATTGAATCGATTCTGACTCACACTGACCCTGTATAGGGTTTCTAAGGATCAGCTGGTGAGGTCGAACCACCGATCTTGCAGTTCAAATGACTTTTCAGTCTGACGCATTAACCCACGGTGCCACACCAGGACTCCTGGGGTTCTTGAGTAGGTAACACTAAGTAATTAATTGGGGTCCTGGTGTGGCTATGAGTTGGAAGTGGGTTGCTATAAGTTGGAACTGACTCGATGCCACACAACAACAACAACATAGATTAGAAAACTGGTATGGAGAGGAAGGGGGAGGATGAAAGAAATCTGACAAGAAGAGAAAGGATGAAAAGATGGGTCCCAAGACAACAAATGTATTGAGCTGTTGTACCTCCTTTACCTTGCTCATAGTTCATTACTTATTCTGTTGTTAAGTGATGTTTGAACTGCCAAACTTGTGGTTACAGCACCATACCAGGAATCTTTTTCTGCCCCGTTGTTGTTTTTATTAGGTGCCATTAAGTTGGTTTCAACTCATACCAACCTCATGTACAACAGAATGAAACACTGCCAGGCCCTACACCATCCTCACAATCATTGCTACGCTTGAACCCATTGCTGCTGCCACTGTGCCAATCCATCTTGTTTGGGGTCTCCCACTTTTTTGCCGACCCTCCACTTTACCAAGCATGATGTTCCTCTCCAGGTCCCACCTGATAATATGTCTGAAGTATGAGAGGTGAAGCCTCACCATCCTGGCTTCTAAGGAGTATTGCTACTGTACTTCTTTCATCACAGATTTGCTTGCTCTTCTGGCAGTCCATTGTACTTTTAATGTTCTCCTCCAACTCCACAACTAAAATGCATCAATTCTTCTACTGTCTTCCTTATTCATTGTCCAGTTTTTACATGCATATGAAGCTATTGAAAATACCATGACTTGGATCAGGCACACTTTAGTCCTCAAACTGACAAATTCACTCTTAAACACTCTAAAGAGGTCTTGTGCAGCAGATTTGCTGTCCCATAGAAGATTATGAAAACTGCTTTATTTTCATAGCATATCTTTAAAAGAAAAACACCAAACCCATTGCTGATCAAGTCAATCTGCCGCTATGTGTTACAGAGTATAATTGCTCCTTAGAGTTTTCACGGCTATAATTCTACAGAAGCAAATCACCAGGCCTGTCTTCCAGCGTGCTGCTGGGTGGGTTTGAACCACCAACCTTTTGATTAATAAACAAATCAATAACTGTTTGCACCATCCAAGGACTTTGTTTCCTTTTGAATTCATTGCATGTAAAACTGCAGATATTTCTATTTATCTAATTTAGCTTTCAGAGGAAATGCATTTTCCTCTAAAACAAACACATATTTCTAATTATCTCAGCTTCTCAATGATCATGTATTAGTGTTTTTAGATCATACTTTGGAAATTAAAGAATTCCAGATTGGTTTCTGTACAAGGGTAAGTTAAAAAGTCTTGGCACAAAACTCTCAAAACTTTTATTAAACAAAAATATAAAAATAGGAAGCCGTAGTTTCTTGGCATCTCCTCCATCTAGGTCCATGTGCTTCTGAAGGTGGTGTTTACAGCTCTCTGAACCTTCTTCCCCGCAGAAATCTGTGCCCTTCCATTACACCTCATCCAAGTGGCAGTTTTGCCATCCTCTAGAGGCTCAGATCTTGTTCCTTTTTAATGTTCTTTGAGTTTGGGGAACAAAAAGACTTCTGAAGGGACAAGATCAGGCCTGTAGGTTAAACGGTGGAAGGGAAGAGCCTGCTTCCCCCTTGAAGAATGAGCAGGTGCATTGTAATGATGGGGGAAAATTCATTAGTACAAATTCCTGGCCTTTTTTTTCACCAATGTGGTTTTCAATTTTCTTAGAACTTTTTCATAATAAGCTCCCGTGATTGCACTGTGACCTCTGAGAAAATGTATCAAGACTACTCCTTGGCAGTCTCACAAAGTAGTCATCATGACTTTCTGAGTTGACCGCTCTGCCTTGAATTGAACTGGCCCAGCAGATGTGCTGGGAAGCCAATGCTTTGATTAGACCTTTTTTTTTTTATTTCAAAGGGATCCAATGAAAGTAAAGGAGCTCTGGTAGCATAGTGGTTATGAATTGGGCTCCTAATCTCAAGGTCAACAGTTTGAAACTCCCAGGTGTTCTGCAGGAGAAAGATGAGGCTTTCTGCTCCCATAAAGATTTATATGCTTGGAAACCCTGTACAAGGTTGCTATGAGTCTGAACTGACTCCACGGCACCTAACAACAATGACAATGAGAGGTAAACAATGAATGGCTGAGAGAACTTGTCTGCCGCCATCTACGGATCGCAGAGATGTATTGGACCACGTTTCGTGTGGAATAAAACTGTGCATGTATGGACTGAATCCCTAGTAGACAGACTCTTTGAATTGTACGTTTCATAGTTCACAGTGTGTCACTTAGAAGAAGAGGTCCACAGACGTTATTCTTAAAAGCTACCGTACATTGTTGGAATAGACATTCGTATCATTTTAATGTGTTTTGTTTGTTTGTATCTTTTGTTGTTGTTGTTGTTTTTAATAGACTTTCTTTTTCACAGCAGTCTTTGTTCATAGAAACATTACAGAGATAGTACAGAGTCCCCATGCACCACCCCCAAAACCCCTGCCCACACACATATAGTGTCTGTCATTACAGTCTTGCTTTAGAGAGGTAATGTGTTTTTTAAAAACAGAAAAGCCAATTCTTTCATTATATATATAAAAAAATCACACTTTTGTGAGAACTAGGAGAGAATAAAGGTAATTATTGTGATTATTAGAATTATCCAAAATGTAGTAAAAATATTCTTAATGGGTTTGATAAAGAAATGATTTTACTTTTTCTTTTTTAAAATAAGATAAATGCCTATGATATTTCTAGCATTTCAATTCAGTCCAAATGTATTATATATTCACCCTTACACCACCCAGAGTCCCTACACTAAGGCAAAGCTAGGCAACCACCTTTTACAAAGGGCCAGACAGCAAATACTTTAGACTTTGCAGGGCAAATGCCTGTGTACAAAAATAAACAATAGTGTACAAGACCCAGCGACAATAGACCCAAGACCCAAGTCTATGAATGTGACTGTGTTCCAATAAAGCTTTATTTACAAAAACAGGAAGACTGGATTTGCCTTGGGGCTGTAGCTTGCAAACTTCTCTCTGTGCTGGGCCTTAAGATACTGTTCCCTTTGCATTTACTTAAACAAAGCCCCCAGTCAACATGACTCTTTTGCTAAGACAGCTAGAAGAGTTTGTCCTCATCATCACTTTTCCTAGCCCTAACTTAAAGCAGTTTGTCACTGTATATAGTTATTAACAGGCAGACACTAGTAAGTTTCCAGTTTGTATTGTTCGTATCTTTGGCATGTTCTTGGTATGCCGTGCAAGAAACGAATAAAAGACATTTCAGAAGTAGGTGCATGCTGTTTCCTTTACCCAAAGTGCTTTGAAGGAACAAAATCTCATCTGAGTTTATTGCAATCAGAATATATTGAAAGCTTGTTAAATCTGGAAGTTTGAAGGTTCTATTCCCCAGGATAGTGAGAGTGTCTGATTCACAGTAACTGCGGTGACGACATCTTCTGAGGTTAGTCTTCAGGGAGTGCACACTCTTTCTTTCAGGGAAAACAGAATGCTGTTTAATTTTTTAGCATTTTATGTAATGGTTTGAATGCCCAGTCTAACCCAACCACTGCTGTCAAGTCGGTTCAGACTCAGAGCGACCCTGTGTAGAGTTTCTGAGACTGTAAAGCTTTATGGGAGCAGACAGCCTTGTCTTTCTCCATCAGAGTGGCTGATAGGCTTGAACCGCTGATCTTACAATGGGCATTTGAATGCTTATCCTACACCCTGAAGGGCTCCATTTGAACACAGTATCAAATAATTATTATTTTTAAAGGCATTTCCAAATGCTGCTCTCTTGACCTTTCTCAAAATTCAGTCCAAATTGTCTTTTTTAAAGCACTAAAACCCCAATCATTCCATCTCTCCTAACATTTTGCTCTGCCAGCATCAATCACCATTTCATTTTATTCACTGCAAATACCCTCTGCTTTCTCCTGGTCCCTTTGAACTTATTAAAGACAAAACATTCTATAGGTCATCTTTGAGCATTGCTTTCAGAGAAAAGCTGGCAAAACTATTTACCAGTGACAGCATTTTAATTTCTTATTGGGTCTGTTGTCAGAATTGATGCTGGTTTCTCCTAAAAACCATACCCAATGGTAACCCATCAAGTTGATTCCGATTCATAACGACCCGGTACAGGATTTCCGAGAGTGTAAATCTTAACAGTTGCAGGAACCCTCATATTTTTCCTGTGGAGCAGCTGGTGGGTTTGAACTAACATCGCTTTGGTTAGCAGTCCACTGCTTATGCTAGAATGCCACCTCAGGACTCCAACAATAGCTACTTTAATGAAGAAGCTGAATGAAATGGAGATCACATGTATATATTAAGTTCTTAAACAGGATAAAGATGTTCTACACTTTTCCTCCACCCCACCCCCCTAACCCCCAGTGGCTTTTGAGCTGATTTCAACTCATGTATGACCTCATGTGTGTCCAAGTAGAACTCTGCTCCATAGGGTTTTCAGTGGCTGGTTTGGGGGAAGTAGATTCCCAGATCTTTCTGGTCCACATTCAATGACTCTCCACTGCCTTGGTTCTTGGTTAGAATGTGGACATGTCTGCTCATTGTGTTAATGGCCAAAGGAAACCTGATTGGTACCCTCAATTCAATCCGATCTGTGAACGTTTGTTAGTATTCATGACGCAACACGGAGCACCATCTCAGAAGTTCTCTGTCCCTTTTCATCAGATGTTCAGGGGTCCACACGGATGCTCTAAAATGAGGTGTCCATTCTAGAGCAACGGTCTACCCTACCCTACATCTCCCTGCCAACGTTGCTGACTAGTGCAGGGAGAATTGTTTGGAGATGAGAAACTTTGGTGGCCACCAACAGACTCTTTTTGTATGTCTCTTGTAGGAGTCCTTTGGAACCTCTCATCATGCGATGCCCTCAAAATGCCCATCATCCAGGATGCCCTGGCAGTGCTGACCAATGCAGTGATCATTCCCCACTCGGGCTGGGAGAACTCGCCTCTGCAGGATGACCGGAAAATCCAGCTGCATTCATCCCAGGTGCTTCGCAATGCTACCGGGTGCCTAAGGTCAGTCCATGGAGTCCAAACGAAACCAACTCTCTTTGGCCATCCATGGCTCCCATTGAGGGGGCTTCCTGCTACCATACCTCCCCTCTGCTTCCTTAGCTTCTGCCTCTGGTTTACTACGCATCAGCCTTTTCTAGAAAGATGGATGCTGATGTGGCAATGGGATATGAGAAGTCAGCACAAATGCATTTCTAATCAGTCTCAGAAGAGATGTCACCATGTTCCACTGCCATATGCATATGGAGTCCTGGTGTGGCACTGTAGGATAAACACTGGACTGCTAACTGCAAGATTGGTGGTTCAAACTCTATAGCCACCCCTCAGAAACCCTATACAGGGTTGCTGTGAATTGGAACCAACTCGACAGCACTTAACAACAAGAGAATACATAGGCCAGTACTTATTTGATTTAATTCAAAGTTTTCTTAGTTGAGGGATAACTTTCATTCCAGCCAAGATGAAATCGTTTTTGTTTGCTTGGAAACAGCAGTTCACAATGAATGACTGAAGCTAGGGAACCAGGCAGGGCCATGGGTTGGAGTCTCTGACTGATCCCTAACTGGTTCACAACCATGATTAGATTTTCTTAACTCACCATGTGACTTCAAGAGCCTGTGATACTTAGACCCCAAACCCAAAAACCAACCCACTGCCCTAGAGTCAATTCCGACTCATAGCAACCCTGTAACTCAGAGTGGAATGAATCACAAGGTTTCAAAACTGTAAAGAACTCTACTGAAGCACACTACCTTATCTTTCTCCCTCCGAGGGGCTGGTGGGTTTGAACCAGCAGCCTTTTGGTAAACTGTGCCACCCAGGCTCCTATCATAAGGCAGAATGTGGTGAGTGTTTTCTGAATAATAAAAATAGTATTTGTGTTGTCATTGTCTCTGAAGGCACTTTTACAATCATCCCCCCAAAGCCTCTTGAGACTTCTTAGGATCACCTGAGTGTTTTATTTGAATTTTACTCTTAACCAAACATAAAGTCATAATTAGGATTTGCTGCTTCATAAACTCTCAACACGGCACACTAGGATGCTGTGTTTGGGTCCCAAGTTGGAAAACTCTGCTGGGAGGGCTTTATGGTAGGAGAGAGCCAATGGTGTGACTTCAAATACCTCATCGGACAATCTGTCTTTCGAAAGTCAAACGGGCACGATTGCGCAGAGCTGCCATTTTTGCTGAAGGTGGTCAGTGTCTAGAAGCGGACCACCTCCCTGGCCTTTGTCAGAATGCCTACAGCAGTGTTCGGAGCTCCATTCTTCAGGGGGTGTGTTTGATTCTGTGACTGTGCACATGGAGAACAGGAAGGGGAAAAGTCAGCCTCCATAAATCTCCATAGGTATGGGCAGGCATTAATGTGTGATACTTCTGACAACACTGCCTTTCCTCCATGTCGGGAAATAATGGACTTTTGACAGGATTTCACTGGACCAGGCTCTACCATAAGCTCAATTTACGGTTCTCCTAAACTCCCTCTTGAGGCATTGATTTTATAGCCTCGTAAATTCAGTTGTCTCTCAGAAACCATCCTCCTGCTCCAGACGGAATATAACTCTCTCAAAGTTAACGCAAAGCACATCTGACGGTTCATAACTGATTTTCTATTTGAATTATTTGCAACCAGCCTAGACTTTGTTTCTCTTTCTTCTGTTCTCCCCTACCTGCAAGGCATGAGACTCCCAGGCAGGCTCAGAGGCGGCAGTGCAGCAGAATCAATTACAGACAGATGGTCAGTCAGGCTTGGTTAGTTCTGTCTATGGCTACTATAAAAGCAGAATTTAGTATTCATGATGGCTGACCTAAGGATGCATGGCACTATGATTTCAAGAGTATTCTGTTGTTGTTAAATGCTGTGGAGTCCGTTCCAATTCAAGCCGACCCTGTGTTGGGTTTCCAATGTGCAGCTGCTAGATTTGAACTGCTGACCTTATGGTTCACAGTCCATTGCTGATCCTACATGCCACACCAGGAGTCTTATGAGAGTGTAGTCAACATGATTTCTTAAAAAATCAGATGAAGAAGTTGGACCAATGCAGTTTTTATGGGTCTCCTTTATAAGTCACCAGCCTGAATGTAGGGTTGGGGACGTGGTCCAGAGGAAAGTTAGTTTGATCAGGATGAAGAACTACCCTTCCCCATTCATGCACAGAGAGTCTCTGCGCTGGCTGCTTCTGAGCTGGATCAGGAGTGGTCACGTCCCAGGAAGCACAAATAAGAGGGCATGTGGTTTGGAAGGACTCTTGGTATGGTGCTATAGGATAATGCACTGGACTGCAAGGTCAGTTTGAACCACAAGGTCAGCAGTTCAAATTCAACAGCAGCTCCTTGGAAACCCTATATACAGAGGCACTATGAGTTGTAAGTGACTTGATGGCACTTACAACAGTGGATTTGAAAGAGAGTAATTTGTATGTACTTAGGCATTGTAGGATAAGCACTGAACTGCTAACATTAAGGCCTGAAGTTCAAACCCACCAACCAGTCCTTGGAAATCCTATATAAGGAACTAACTCCACATCACTGAGCAACAACAAGGCACAGTGGTCGCTAAGAGTCGGGACCAACTCGATGGCACTTAACAACTACAACCAGGCACAGTGGGTTCAGTGTTAAACCACTAACTAAAAGGCTGACTGTTCAAACCTACCGCTTTTGCTGGAGAAAAATTAATCATTTGTGCTTTGATAAAGATTCATAGCCTCCGAAGTCCTATGGAGCAGTTCTCTGGCCTGCAGAGTCTCTGTGCGTTAGACTTGACTCAGCAGCCGTGGGTTAAAATGTATCCTACATATCAATAAATAGCTGACGGTGTTCCGCTGCTGTTCTTAAGGTGGCTAACTTCCTACTGTGTCGTAGTCTGGAAGCTCAGCTGGAATCTGTGCACCTGCTGATATTTACAGTACTCGTGGCATCACTTCCAGCATCTCAGCAACACCCAAGCCACCGCAGCACAACAAACTGACAGATGAGTGGTGGTCATGTATAGATTATTCTCTAGTGAGTTTGAATAACGAAATGACACGGTACATTTGCATACTTTGAAATTTCTACTAATTTAAATCTTTCACCTTGAAAGTTGTCTTAATTGTTTAAAAATGCAACACTCACCTGGTATACGATTCTTGTTCCAATGTGTCATAATCATTATTATCATATCTTACAAAATCCAGCTGAAATGTAAACATATGATCCAGGACTTTGTTTGGCTGATAATAGAGAACCAGTTGTATTTGGTGAACAGAGAAAGTGTATGTGTGTCTGTGTATAGAAAGCATAAAACTCTGCAGAGAATTGTGACTCATTTGTTGTTGTTGTTAAGTGCTGTTGAGTTGGTTCTGACCCATAGCAACGCTGTATAGGACTTCCAAGGAGTGATTGGTGAGCTTGAACCACCGACCTTGTGGTTCAAATGACTTTGCAATCCAGCCCATCAACACACAGTGCCACACCAGAATTCCTGTGACTTGTTTGGTATGAGCCAAATTAAGTATCTCCACTGGTAAAAACTTCAAGTCCCTTGATTTGATTTATGGAGATTCCACTGTTGTTGAGGGAAAGAAATGATTAATTAAATATAGATACTAAAATACAAGATATTCTCACTAGCAAACTTCTCTCTCCTTTTTATGTCTTCTTCTGTATTTGGAAAACATTTCATTTATTTCCTTTTATATATTTCAACTTATGAAAACTCTCACATGATCTTTAAGTGTTAGGAGTTCAATATAATAAGCCTTTGCCACATTATGGGTTGGAACCAACTCGACAGCACCTAACAACAACAAATATAACCTTGGTTGGATTTACTTCACTGGAGGTCGTCTAGAGTCGGAGCCATCCTAAACTTTTAAATCAGAGACGTGACGCAGTATCACAGAAGAGCATAACTCCAGCCGCTGTATATAGAATGAATCCTCTCTGGATTGATTGTGAAATATGACCAAGGTTCCCATTTAAAATATACACAAACTGATAACCATTGTCATCATTTCAGAGTGAACACTAGACAAGGCCTCTGAGCATCCATTTTTAGTTTTCAATCTACCAGTTAGCTCAGTAAGACGATCTGATTTCCATTCCTGAAGCCTTGTGTTACCTTTAGCCACGGAGACTTAGAACTTTAGCTCCAGCCACAGTGCTTGTGGAAGGCTGGCTTTGCTGGCTTCCAAGCCTATTTCCAGGGTGCTGCAATATCATTGGTTTATTTTTATTATTCTCTGCCCACTACAGCGTCTTGTCCTGAAGGACAACAATATACAACCCTAATTTTTTCCATCTGTCTTTGAGCACACAAGAATATTATTAAGGTTGCCAAAGGATCCCCACAGTGTCTCTGCTTATGAGTGTAATCAAACTCACACCCCCCTAATTAGTCATTTTAACCCATATAACGGATGAGTGCTTGGTCCCACGGTGCTACTAATTCTCTGTGTGAACTTGGGAAAACCCCATCACACAGTAATGCTAGGGACAAAACATGCTGGCAAGAAAACTCCAAGGACATTCGTTTTGTCTGGTTTGCTCTTGCATTTGCCCCAGACAAGAAGAGGAATTGGTTTTGCTTTTATATTAAGTTCAATTGGCTGCTGATAATATTCATTTATTAAAAAGGATCACTTTGTGAAGTATTTCTAAAAGGGTAACATACCCCGTTCTGACCAGGTCAGGCTGGCCTATCTGAACTTGATTTTGACTCATTGTACAATAGAAATCAAAGTCTTAATTCCTCCATTAGCTACCTAGATCTGTTGTTACATATATATCACACGAGGGTGGCTTTCAAGAACAGAATCTCCTTCTGTCTAAGCTCTGGAGGCCAGAAGTCCAAATCAGGCTTTTGCCCAGGTGGACCCTATGCTTGTGATTATCCCTGGGTGTTTCTTGGTTCTTTGGTTGGTAGAGATCCTTACATATTACTTTTCTCCCCAGCCCCCTGGGTTTCTCTGTGTCTATTCTGCTTGTTTTATAACTCAGAAGTAATTGGGTGCAAGATCC